TTCTTATCTTTCTTATCTTTCTACCCCCTCAAGTCCATGTGTATCACAAGCCTGGGAAAAAGCCATTAATCGCTATAAAAATAAAACACAAAAATATATACATTTCATATATAAAACACCAACACCATTTTTTTCTGTTTTTTCTGTTTTATTGTGTTGCTCTGTTGGAGGAGCCTGTGACCTAACATTTTCATCGTCATAACTACACTGTAGCTATGTACGTATGACTAATAAAAGCCTTGCACCTTGAACCTTGATACCAATGATACTAGCAAAATGTACAAAGTATAGAATTGACAGCATGAAAGGAAAAGGGAATAAACCAGATAATTTACAAATACTTTTTTTAGAGTTTGCACACATTCAGATCACAAGCAGCTGCTGTTCAAAGTTTGTGTGTGAACTGTTAATGCATCAATAATGCATTTTACTGAAATACTGGAGAAATGCTTGTGTGATTCTGGTCTTGTGTGACTTTCCTCCTCCAAAGCACATATGGTGGTTTTAAGTGCTTTTCTCCTCCAAAGCACATATGGTGGATCTGGCGTGAAACACTGTTTTCTGCAATTCAGCAAAAACTTGAAGCTCAAACAGAGCATGCTATGTTTATTAACAAGATCCAAATCTGAGTGAAAAATAGTTTATCTGAGGTTAGGACTTTTCCATTGCCGGATCAAGTTCCTTTGTTCTGAGTGTTTGTACTGAAGGTCTTTTGTTTCATCATAGCCATAAAGTAGAATCTAAAACAAAACAAACCTAATGATCAGCAGATTTTCCTTTTGGTTTGTGCAATATTGAAATGTCATAAAATGTCATATTGTGTTGGAGTTTATACAAACATCACAACCAAAACGTCAAGGCTAAATATCATGTAAGGCTTTCATGAGCAGAACATTTTCTAGTTGGCTGTTGAATTAAAGCATTGGCCTTTGAGTCTTTGCTCACTTCTTGCCCTTGAAAAACGCTTCCCTTAACTTTGGAAAGCACTGACACCCTCTATAATATCTCTTATATCAAACCCCAAATCCACAGTTCACTTTCTTCAAAGAATCTGAAGCTGAAAGAGGCCTATATTCTCCTCTACAGATCATACAAAAACTTCCCATTTCATTCCATTGCTTTGTATGTATAGCTCAAAGATAATCTTATGGGATTAAAGTATCTCATAAGATTATCATTGCCTGGAATAAAGGTATACATTTAAACTGAACAAGACAAAAAAAGAAAATCTTCAGACAGCCAATCATTATCCACAATTTTCCTCATGATTCTGTTTCCAGTTATATTTGTGTATGTTTTCGATAAACCTGGTGGTCATACTTAGTCCATCAATACTACTAATGTGTTTTTATTCTATTATTGCTCGTCATTGCTCAAACCTCTTTGAGTGCTCAAATGCTTTTAGTGAGAACAACACTTTTTTCCCCCCTTTTTTTAAAAAACCCACATTCCTTGTTCACAGGAAATGGCTTCCAAACAGCCAATTGGCTACAAATGTTGCATAGCAGGAGTGCTGCTTCTCCTCTTGGCCAGCGTTGCCGCCCTAGTTGCTGTTGCTGTCATCCAGGACACCTGGAGGTTCAACGACTACAGCTATGAGGTAAACATGAACACACACAATGGATGGTCCCATCAATCTGTGCACTTCCTCAATTCAACAAAGAACAAAAGTTCTCAATACAGAGAGAGGGACAAGAACTGGTTTACAAACCCTTCAGATCACCAACACTCTCATTATGTGAATGTGATGCCAGATGGTTTCCAGATGTTAGGGTAATTTCCATTGAAAGGGGTCATCAGTCAGTGACACTGACAATGTGTTTTTTCAGGGGTGGACAGGGTAACAACAGCCTCTTTATAGTTTAATTGAATGCTTATAGTCTCAGCTCTCTCTCTCTATATATATATATATATATATATATATATATACACATACAAACCTCTTCATTAGGTGTATTTAACTAAGCAAGGTAGAGGGTAAATCAGCTCAAAAGGAAATGAAACATGTGGACCAGTAACAACTAGAAAATGCATTTCCTGCAGAAAATGCGTGCGAATGCTGTAAACTGTGAACATTTGTGGCTGAATTTAGCTGAAAATGCAGAAAAAGCTGAATATGTTATTAGCTGAATGGTAGCTGCTTTTAGCTACAAAAATGCAGAAAAAGCTTAATATTTAAAAGAAAAGGGTTAAAAAAACATGTATAGCCTTGATGTCCTGAAATAGCTGAATAATGTAATAGTTGAATGGTTTCTGCAGCTGAAAATAGGCTGAAGGAGTTACATATCAGATGTAAGTAGTAGTGAATGAATTTGTATTAAAATGAGAAAATAAAGTAAAAAGGCTTGGGAAAGCAGCAGAATATTTGAACTACAAACTTTTGAACTAACTTGATGGTGAATTATCTGTCGCCATGGCAACGGCATTTGATGACACCCCATAATACGCTTAGATGTGTTGATGGCTGCATCGTTACCAAACCTGTGAAGTTTTGGGCCATTTCGAGCATTTTCACCGAAGTTATGAGAAAACCGTGTTTCATGGTGAGCATTGTGTTGCCATGGCAACGGCATTTGAAGAAATCTCAAAACTGTCCCGTAGATGTCTTCACGGCTGGACTGTTAGCACACATGTGAAGTTTGAGCACTTTTTGAACATTTTCATAGGAGTTATACATTACATTCGGAGGTTACATTACTCTCTCTCTTCTCTTGATCGCCCTCTCTCTTCTCTTGATCACCCTCTCAATCTTCTATCGCCCTCTTTCTCTTCTCTTGATCGCCCTCTCTCTCTTCTCTCTCTCTTCTCTTGCTCGCCCTCTCTCTCTTCTCTTGATCGCCCTCTCTCTTCTCTTGATCGCCCTCTCTCTCTCCTCTTGATCGCCCTCTCTCTCTCTTCTCTTGATTGCCCTCTCTCTCTTCTCTTGATCACCCTCTCACTCTTCTATCACCCTCTCTCTCTTCTCTTGATCGCCCCTCTCTCTCTCCTCTTGATCGCCCTCTCTCTCTCCTCTTGATCGCCCTCTCTCTCTCTTGATCGCCCTCTCTCTCTTCACTTGATCGCCCTCTCACTCTTCTATCACCCTCTCTCTCTTCTCTTGATCGCCCTCTCTCTCTCCTCTTGATCGCCCTTTCTCTCTTCTCTCTCTCTTCTCTTGCTCGCCCTCTCTCTCTTCTCTTGATCGCCCTCTCTCTTCTCTTGATCGCCCTCTCTCTCTCTTCTCTTGATCGCCCTCTCTCTCTCTTCTCTTGATCGCCCTCTCTCTCTTCTCTTGATCACCCTCTCACTCTTCTATCACCCTCTCTCTCTTCTCTTGATCGCCCTCTCTCTTCTCTTGATCGCCCTCTCTCTCTTCTCTTGATCACTCTCTCTCTTCTCTTGATCGCCCTCTCACTCTTCTATCACCCTCTCTCTCTTCTCTTGATCGCCCTCTCTCTCTTCTCTTGATCGCCCTGTCTCTCTCCTCTTGATCGCCCTCCCTCTCTCCTCTTGATCGCCCTCTCTCTCTCCTCTTGATTGCCCTCTCTCTCTCCTCTTGATCACCCTCTCTCTCTACTCTTGATTGCCCTCTCTCTCTTCTCTTGATCGCCCTGTCTCTCTCCTCTTGATCGCCCTCCTTCTCTCCTCTTGATCACCCTCTCTCTCTCCTCTTGATTGCCCTCTCTCTCTCCTCTTGATCACCCTCTCTCTCTTCTCTTGATCGCCCTCTCTCTCTTCTCTTGATCGCCCTGTCTCTCTCCTCTTGATCGCCCTCCCTCTCTCCTCTTGATCACCCTCTCTCTCTACTCTTGATTGCCCTCTCTCTCTCCTCTTGATCACCCTCTCTCTCTTCTCTTGATCGCCCTCTCTCTCTCTTCTCTTGATTGCCCTCTCTCTCTTCTCTTGATCACCCTATCACTCTTCTATCACCCTCTCTCTCTTCTCTTGATCGCCCTCTCTCTCTTCTCTTGATGTGTCTGTGAGAGAGAGGGAGAGTGTGTATCAGGGAACCCCAATGAACTGATATATGTTGTTTTTTTTGGTTTTGTGTTTAAAATGTGGAGATGGGAGCAGTTTGTCTAAAGTGTACTTCTCTCTGTTCTGAAGAAAGTTCCGGAAAGATTTAACATGGGAATCAATTGGGAGCTAGCTGGACTTTTTGTCACTTCATGCCCTCAAGAGGCATTTTGTTTAATTTTTTTTAATTTTCCAACCTAGGAGAGGTTTTCCTACGTTTTTCATGAAAAATGATGTCTGAGGAGTGTAGGGTTTGGGAATTATGGCAGGTTTAAAAAAAAAAAATTGGGAGAATTTCAAGCACTCTTCCACTCTTTTTTGAGATCAAAGCACTCTAGACTTAACGAGCTGCTCCATCCACACTAATGTTAAAATCTGAAGAAAGCCTCTTTACCAAATATCTCAAAAAGTGTAAAAGATATCAAAAATAAAAGTCAAGTTGTATAGCTGAAGGTGTTGTGATCATTTGAAAGTTGGAATGAAGTGTCTAGCTGAAATTATGTGGAAGGAGAAGCATTTGGCGCAAAGTGTAGGAAAAGAGGATTTGAAGGCATCTCCCATTGACTTCAATGTTAAAAAAAAGAGTTTAAAAAGCTGAATATTTCAAAAAGTATAAAATATTTTTAAAAATGTGAAGGTTTCCCATCGATTCCTGAACAGGCTGAATAGTTTAATATTTGAATGGTTTCTGTAGCTGAAAGTAAGCTGAAGTTATGGAGAGCCAAAGTATTGGTGAAATAAAGGGAAGAATAAAGAATTGAAGTACTATAGTGGAATGCTGTGGCACAGCATTCGCACTAATGAAACAGGAGTGGTGACTGAGCAAATTAACTGTAAAGTTGCTGGTGAGTCATGGTCTATAAAAAAATGCATCTTTTGTACTTAATAGTTTTACATTTTCAAGAATTAAGTTAGAAAAGAGAACATTGACAAAAGTCATAGTGAGCATTTTAAAATACTCTGTTTGAATAATAAATCTTAAACACGGCCAGAAGGTTTTACTTTTATTACATCTGTATTAAAACTGAATCTGAATCTGATATGAATAAGTTAACTATATATCAAAATAACCTAAAACTCATAATTTGTATACAATTCAACTCTTCGTTCTCACTAAATGGGTCATTGCTGGGATCAACATTACATAACTTTTCTTTTTCATTTTAAATAATTATCACCCTGTTTACCTTACCCTGCTCAGAGACCTTTATCAATGCATACTGTTATCCCGTTGGCTCAAACTTTTCCTAAGCCCATTACTGCTCTCCAACAATGATTTTTCATTCTGCTATCCTATAGTAATAACAGTTTTATTACAGACGTATATGGTAGTCAGTTGATATCTATGTAACTGTGCTTGAGAATATGATTTTAGCTTGGCCCTGTTCCTACAGGTGATGGTATCTCCGAGATGAAAGTTGACAAGGAAAAAGATGCCAAGTCAATGGCGGCATTTAAAGTGTGCATTAAGAACATCACCGAAGCTATTCCTGCTGAAAAATGCAAAACCACAACTCTTTTTCTAGGAGCAACTGCTGGAATGAGACTGCTACAGTAAGAAAGTGTTGAAATAAGTTAAACACAGGATATTCTCTTGACATTACTTACTATGCCAGAAGGATCAGAGCAATTTAAACCCATTCATGCACCACATGATTCTTCCCAAAGCCCTCTGAGGCACAGGTCAATGGCTATTTCCTCTTCCTTTCAGTCTCCATGTTAAGCCAAGCTAACCTTCTCCTGGCCAGCGCTAGCTTCACATGTACTGTAGCATACATACACCAGAGTAACAATCTGATTATCTCACTCTAGGCAAGAGAGCAAAACAGGTGCATTTTGCAAAATATAAAAATAAAGATGAATGATACTCATTTCACAATTGACCACTGCTGTTTCCAGTAAGATATGTTCTCATGTCACTTGTTCTGCTTTGCTTTAAGGGGATGGGATGAACAGAGGTCAAGTGAAATCATGGAAGATCTTAGGGAATACCTGTCGTCTCTGCCTTTCGTCTTCCAAAACGCTTCCATTATTTCTGGACAAGCCCATTGTAATTCTCTACTTAGAAAGACAAGTAGATAGTTGTGCAATGGAACTGTGAGGCCTTGGCAAAGGATAGGTGGAAATGAAAATTTGAATAAGAAATGTATAGATTTATGTATATTTTCCAGTTAACTGATACTGTAGCTCAAATTTCCTTCTGAGCTGTTTCTATTGGAGTAATCAACAATGTAATGTTTCTCAACTCCATTTTCGTTTGTATTTAAAAAAAAAAAACAACAACTATTTAATCCTGATTTATCCTGATTTCTGCTTATACAATCAAGTTTCTCTCCAGGGACCAATCGATTTAATTTCAGTATGCTCAAAATATTAAGCATGCTGCTACCAACAAGCCTCTTAATCAGATGTTGAGGTTATAAATGGTTATGGTTCATTTGAGGGCTGTGGTTCGGTTGAGGGTAGGCCATAATTGTACACAGCCTGAAGGCTAAATTAAGAACAAGAACGTCCCAGTGCATGTTAATAATATTACTCACGAGGTGGAAATATTATCCTTGTTACTACGATATTTAAGGTAGAGTCGAAAACAGGTTAGAATTTACATATGCATAGTTTGTGAAAGACAATACCTGAGGTTTATTTCCCCATGATGCTTGATCACTAACTTTCTTCCTGTTATTCTGGTTTAACTGTTTCAAAAACATTGCCCCCATTAAATGGATCCTGATGTGTGCGCAGGATTCTATATGCCTAATGGATAATAGTCATTTAGAACTGTATACTGCCACAGGAACTCCTATCTGATGTAACAGCTTGCAATGTGTACGTAACACCAAAGGAGCAATTTTTAGACCAACAGCCAATTTAAAAAAAGATGGATGTGTGTGTTGCTGGGTGTGCACACACACACACACACACACACACACACACACACACACACACACACACACACACACACACACACACACTTGGGTACATTCTTGAGTTTGCACAAAGCACGTTCTCATACAGCGCTGTTCCCTGGAGTGAGTGTGAGTGTGTGTGTGTGTGTGTGTGTGCGTGTGTGTGTGTGTGTGTGTGTGTGTGTGTGTGTGTGTGTGTGTGTGTGTGTGTGTGTGTGTGTGTGTGTGTGTGTGTGTGTGTGTGTGTGTGTGTGTGTGTGTGTGTGTGTTCTCAGTCTCTCCCTGGGGGATTACATCACAGGGCAGTTATCAGACCTGAGTCATCAGAGAGGTTGAGAGGGCCTGTTCCTCTCTGCGCCTCCATCTAAATGAAGACACACTTCAGCACATTGGAGATAAAGACTTTCTTTCTTTCTACTTTTTATCTTGTTTAATTTATATATGACTAGTGCTCTCATTACAACTAGTTTTCTTTATTACTGAGCTGACCTGTTCTCTTGTCCAATACAGTTCATTGTACTGTCGGCCCTGTATAAGTCTTATAACGATTAACAAAGTAAAACTACTACTTACTCCTTTTTATGCAACATTAGAAGATACAGTTCATGTTCAGGGTCTTTCTTTCATTTTCAATTTCTCTTTCTTTTTTACTTCGTTCTTTTTTTCATTTTCAATTTCTCTTTCTTTTTTACTTCTTTCTTTCTTTCATTTTCTATTTCTCTTTATGTTTCTTTCTTTTTTCTTTCTTCTTCTCTCTTTTAAAATATATTATCCTACTTAAAGGTGGGGTAGGTAAGTTTGAGAAACCGGCTCGAGATACAATGAATATCTTAAGTGCTTTGACAAAAAGTCCATTAAAAAATGTCATCTGTGGAAGCCGTAATACTGTAAAAAGTACGACCAACGACCTGGATGGCCTACCTGCCTGTCAGCCTTCCATCTGTGCACAAACTTATCTCGTGCCCTCATTGGTCATGTGCGCGTTCGTGTGTGTTGGAGGAGGGGCTCTGTAAGGAAATCTGAAGGAAGGGGCAGATTTTTTTCGGCTGTGTACTTTCAAATTCTAGCGTACTCGAGCTGGTTTCTCCATTCTTACCTACCTCGTATTTTTACTAACAAAACTATCCTTTGCCTTTAAGTAGAAGACCAAGAACTAGAGTAGGCCAGTTAAAATGGTTCACTCTGCTCTCATCTCCGTCTGCTTTCTCATTCCTTCCTCTCACGAGGCAGTCTTATGATTTCGCCACACAGCAAGATACGAGTTCCACAGCTAATGAAAGATCAGTTCCCATCTAAATCCATCTACATTTAGTCATTGCCCTTATCCATGTACACTCTCAGCTGATCAGTATCGTCTGTGTGTTAAAGTCACCAGTCACAGTTGAGGTGTTTCTAATAATGTCACAAAGAGATACTTTTCTGCTGATTCATGCTGCTCCTGGCAGACGCTACTTTTCCTTTCCACTTCCTACACTCTGTCCTGATGTGCATCTCCACTAGCTCAGCCTCCTCGTGTTTCTTATCATACTTGCACTGAGTTTTGTTCATAACTTGCAACAAGTTATTCTTACTGTATCTCCTTTTTACACAAAGCCTTACCTCTGATAGGGGATAACATTTGACATTTGTGTGCAAAGATCTGACTGTCCCTGTTCACTTAAGACGAGGATGGAAAGTATAAGTCTCTACTCATCCATTAAATGAAACAGGACTTCGCTTGGACATGGCAGACAGTGGGGATGTCCATGTTTATCTTTATCTCCTATGATTATGTATTTGTTCACAAACCCTTTTCAGTTTTTTCAAATATCGAATAGTCAGTTCTCCCTGCACTTTACTGCGAGTGCATTATGTGACTTTAGGTTAATTTTGTCTCCATGATCCCACTTCTGTTTGCAGTGTTAATCTGACTAATAAGTAAGAGCTGCCATTCTAGTGACAAGATGATGATCCCTCACTGGCTTGCAACTTGCAAACCCCGCCACACTGAACCCGTAATGCTAGAAGTTCTGCTGCTCCATATGAACCTCTGTGGTAGGCTAATGCCACATGTGGCCCAGCAAAGTTTTTATATTTACAGTTACTACTAACTATGGCATAACATTTGGTTACAAATGTGGGTTAATCAACACTTTTTGGGCTTGAAACTTCACTTTGGACATAACACAACAGTTTTGGCAAAACAAACGTTTGACCCCACCTCTGGATTATGATAATCCTGCAGACATTTTCTTGAATAGAAACCTGTCATAATAAAGCCAGGCCAGGTCATACAACGTGTTTTGATTAATATGCATCAATGGAAAACATGACAGTGTCCAGAATGCCCCAAAACAACTATGACAAAACATAAATTGTGGGGATGACAATCCCATCGTCATCAATCATCAAAAGATTTCCAAAACCTTCTGACAATTCAACTTTATGTTAAAAAGGTTAAGGGTTATCCCTATTGAGCAACTGCGAGAACCTGTATTGCAGCATTTGTGATGTGTGCAGCCTTCCTGGGGCTTTCCCCTCCGGCTGACTAACTGTGACGTACACGTGGGTGTGCGTCTGTGTGAGTGTAGTGGCAGGAGGGGGGTGGGTGGGAGAGACAGACAGCTGTGCAGGCCAGATCTGTAGCTAACAGTAGGAAGCATTCACACTACACATTCTGCTGCAGTGTGTCACCAGACAGTCTTTCTCTTTCCCTCTTGCTACTGCTTCCCACTCTTTTCCCTTCACTTTTCTCATCTTCCTGTTTCTCCCTATCCCATACACACACTCACATATGTGACTGTGGATGTGCATTTACACACACACACACACACACACACGCACACACACACACACACACACACACACACACACACACACACACACACACACACACACACACACACACACACACACACACACACACACACACACACACACACACACACACACACACACACACACACACACACACACACACACACACAAAGAACATGGACAAACTCTCACAAACCCACACAGAACATCATGGATTTTTGGGTGGGCTGAGACATGCAATACAATCACTGACTTACACAGGTGCATTCACATAAATGTATGCATGAATGCATGTCTGCATACTTGGGCAGACAGGCGCATATTCTCACGCAGGCATGTTTTCAAGCATGAGTGCATGCACATGCTTTACAGGAAATGCACAGAGCCATAATGTCCAGTGATCTAATCATGTCTAACACAATGGCTGTGTAAAAGGTCAATGGAGTAGTGCAGTATTAAGCATACGAGGAAGGGAAACTGTTTCTTGTTAAAAACCCGAGACAAATATTGAGCACAGCTGTCATTTTTTAATGACAGTTGAGCCTGTCATTCAAAAATATGTAGGTTAAACGTCAAATCTGCCTGTGCAGAGGATAAAGTTATGAAGGTGGACGAGGCATTGCACATGGGTTCCGGGTTGCAGGGATGATTTTCTGACTTAATATTTAGGAGAACATTTTAGTTGAGTAAAGTGAATATGACGTGTTTAGTTGAGTGTTGCCTATCCTGTCTCTGGCTCCGGTGTATAATATGCTTGAAGCAGCATGAACAATTATGTTAATTAAAGATCTATTTCCAAAAGTTATTGCTCTGGCATCATTTCCATACGTGGAGAAAGCCTTTCCTACAGAGGTGGGAGCAGTACTCAGACTGTGTACTTAAGTAAAAGAAGAAGTACCAGAGTGTAGGACTACAATAAATGTAATGGAGTAAAAGTACATGATTTACCGCTGAGTTGTAGTGGAGTAGAAGTAAAAAGTACCAAAACATTGAAATACTCAAGTAAAGGTAATCATTTAGTGACCATCAACTGGCGGCCCGCGGGCCACATCCGGCCTGCCAGACATTCTCATCCAGCCCGCATGACAGGGGTGACTGTGGCGTTAGTGCGTTCGCCCCCCACTAATTTTTTTTTTATACAACGTCTCGTGAGTAATGTGCAGTACCGGAGTCCAACAGAGAGGCTGCAGCTGCGGGACAGTAGCCTGCGTACTGCATAGCCTTCCCTGCCCTGAAGTAGAAGTGATCCTTCGTTGTGAAGAGTCTTTGCACTCAATTGGAGTGCTGTCCAAACCGAGAGGGTTCTGACCCGAGCTCAACCAGGTGTTAGCAATATTTGCCATATATGCAAGAAACACCTGTCAACGCAAAGCAGAAGGCTGTAGAACCTCAAAAAGAAAGCGGTTTGAATGAACGTCGCGTGTGAGCGTGCGCTCAGAAAATCGTGTCAAGGAAACATTAAAACATTAAAACAGTTACTAAACAGTTACTAAATCAGCCTACTATCACCTAAAGAACATATCTAGGATTAAAAGACTAATGTCACAGCAGGATTTGGAAAAACTTGTCCATGCTTTCATCTTCAGTAGACTCGACTACTGTAATGGTGTCTTTACAGGTCTCACTAAAAAATCTATTAGAAAGCTGCAGCTAATTCAGAACGCCGCTGCTCGAGTCTAACACTAAGAAAGTGGATCACATCACTCCTGTTCTGAAGTCCTTACACTGGCTTCCTGTGTGTCAAAGAATAGATTTCAAAATACTGCTGCTGGTTTATAAAGCTTTGAATGGTTTAGGCCCAAAATACATGTCTGACCTACTGCTAAATTATGAACCATCCAGATCTCTCAGGTCTTCAGGGACTGGTCAGCTTTCTGTCCCCAGAGTCAGAACTAAACATGGAGAAGCAGCATTCAGTTATTATGCTCCAAATATCTGGAACAAACTCCCAGAAACCTGCAGGTCTGCTGTAACTCTTACTACTTTTAAATCCAGGCTGAAGACTTTTCTTTTTGCCGCTGCTTTTTTTTTTTAAATGCCATTTTCATAATGTCTTCCATTTTTGTAAAGCACTTTGAATTGCCTTGTGTTGAAAGGTGCTATATAAATAAACTTGCCTTGCCTTGCCTTGCCTAGGTATCATGCTGGGTCCAGATGCCGCAAATGAGCTATCCAAAGTGCCGTCGTCTGATAATACCATCAAAAGAAGAATCGACGACATGTCAGAAGACATTGAGCAACAATTGACAGAGAAACTGCAGGCGAGCGGCAGATTTTCCCTACAAATAGACGAATCGACAGACATAAGTGGGGCTGCCCAACTTCTGGCAAACGTCAGATATGTTGATGCTGACTCTATCAAAGAGACGTTTTTCTTCTGCAAAGAAATGGAAAGCCATACTACGGGAGAAGAAATATTCAGGGTAACTCATAACTATTTAAAAGAGAACAGTCTGACCTGGAATATGTGCGTCAGTATTTGCACAGATGGTGCAGCAAGCATGACGGGGAGAGTGAAAGGATTTATTGCTAAGGTGAGAGCACAAAACCCACATATCGTCACAAACCACTGCATTTTGCATAGAGAGGCATTAGTTGCCAAAACCATGCCCCTGGAGATGACTGAGGTGCTGAATCAGGCTGTGCAGGTGGTGAATTACATAAAATCAAGGCCCCTGAAATCTCGCCTCTTCTCCCAGCTGTGCGCCGAGATGGGAGCCGACCACCAAAGCCTGATCCTCCACACAGAGGTACGTTGGCTGTCACGGGGGAAAGTCCTATCCCGTCTTTATGAGCTTCGGGAAGAGCTTTTGGATTTTTCACGTGAACACGCTGTCCCACATAAAGACAAGCTCGCGGATGAGAGGTGGTGCGCCAGGCTGGCTTACCTCGCTGACATATTTGGGCATCTCAACGAGTTAAACGCCAAGCTTCAGGGCAGGAATGAAAACATTTTAACATCCACAGACAAGATTCGGGGGTTTATGGGCAAACTTATCCTGTGGCGTGAGGCTTTGGAACAGGGCTCCATGGACATGTTCCCGCTGGCATCAGCTGCGCCGCAGGCAGCAAGGGAGCGCGCTGTATATGCCGAACACCTTCAGACCTTAAAAGAGAGGTTTGACCGCTATTTTCCACATGTGGCTGACATCGAGGACTATGACTGGATCCGAGACCCATTCCACCCGGAACTCTCATCAGAAAAGCTCACTATGAAAGAGAGAGAGGAGTGCGCAGAGCTCCGTGTGGACCGCACACTGAAACTCAAATTTAGTGAGCTCCCACTGGATCAGTTTTGGTTGGCTTCTGCATCGGAGTACCCAAGCATCTCCCACCACGCGATTGAGCAACTTCTTCTTTTTCCCACGACCTACCTGTGTGAGTTGGCGTTCTCTACTCTGGTTTACATGAAGAACAACAGGAGGTCACGGCTCTCTGTTGAACAGGACTTGCGAGTGGCCCTCTCCTCAGTGCCACCAAGGATTAAAAAAATCTGCGCGCCCCGACAGGCACATGTATCTCACTAATTTGTAAGTCGGCAAAAATATTTACAATAGCACATGTTTCTATGCTGATTGCTGAAATGTTATATTTATAATTTGTAGTTCAGGTCCTTGGACAGTGCAGCTTCCTTGCATTGACAGTTCTCTGTGCTGAATTTCTGCTGAGTTTCCTTTGCCTCATTTTTTATTGTGTGACCTGTCTGGTTTAAATGAGTGTGTTGCTGCTTTGATGAAGCCTAATTTCATAAAGTTTCAAATTAATTGAAATATTTCGTTAATAAATAGTTCATGATTAATATAGTTGTCTTTGTCACATTTTATTTGGCATTAGTAAATAATTATGCACATTTACAGATATTTTACATGATATGAGTGATAACACGTGTTATACGGGCTATTTTGCAAAATAGGTGTGCCTTGAGATTTTTTTTTGTCCTTTGGTTTGCCTTGGGCCAAAAAAGTTTGGGAACCACTGCTCTACACCACTCCTCACTAAGCTCAGGTAAACGCAAAAGCATTTACAAAATGCTTGATCTTGTTCTTTACACATTTTCTGTCGGTTAAAGCGTATTTAGAAAGTATTTTAAATACATGTTTTCCATTATTCTCTGCAGTCATCCACATAGCTCAGTTGTGGTTCCATGGCAGGATAACCAGAGAAGAATCGCATCGCATTATCCACCAGCAGGGACAAGTCGATGGGTAAGGGATCTGGAGCTAAAACAGATTTGACACACTTTTCCTATTAACTGAATCTGAAAAAAAAAACCTTACTGGAGAGTTATTATTTATATTTTTCCTAACTTAAAATCAAGTCGGTGGATCCTTCTCACAGTGTCTTCCTTTCTCTTGTTTCACAGGTTGTTTCTGCTCAGAGTCAGTCAGAGTAATCCCAAGGCGTTTGTGCTCACGTTGTGCCATCACCAGAAAATCAAACATTTCCAGATACTACCGGTATGCATTGCTTGGTTTTTGATTTCCTTTTTCTTTTAATAAATAATGGTCCTTGAACAGTGAATGTTTGTTATTGTGAGAACCTTTTTAGGTATTAATACATCTTGAGACAAGTGAATTTAAAATAGAAGCAACCTAGACTTTGACGGTTGTGCTGATCAAAATGATTTTTGTTAAAAAGGTATAATAATCTTGCATCTGTTAGCCCATTAACCTAACGTTATAGTGGACAGATCTTTTTTGTGAGCTATGTCCGTCAAAAATGGCAAACCTTCAAAAGGAGGATATTGTGAATTTGGTCTAACTTGAATAAATAAGGTTGCTTGCATCCAGGATCTACAATGTAGGAAATCAATATTAAAATATATATATATCTATATTTAAATTCAATACTTGTATATTTCAATACTTGATTTGTTGCCAATGAGTCGGATAATGTTATAGTTGTCATTATTATATAATGTCATTGTTATAGTCCTTTTAAAAAGACTTATATTCTCTTTCTGTTTCTTTGGTGTGTCCCTGCTTGCAGTGTGAAGAGGACGGCCAAATCTTCTTCAGCCTTGACGACGGCTCCACCAAATTCACCGACCTGATTCAGCTGGTGGAGTTCTACCAGCTCAACAGAGGAGTGCTGCCTTGTAAACTCAGACACCCGTGCACCTTCGTGGCCTTATGACATCGTCAGATCACCTGACCTCCGTCACTTGACCTGACTCTGCCTAAAACAACAACACAAATCTTCCTGTTGGCGTTTCGTTTTTTTATCTCTTCAAGAAGCTGGTGAATTGACTGATGTTCCGCTGTCATTTTGATCTGTTGTGAGTCCTCTGAAGACTGCTGAATTGTTGGAATCCTTTTGCATGAATGTTGGAGGAGTCGGACTGACAGATTGCTCACAAGGTTCCTCGCTCGAGAAGAGAACAGATAAAGGAAATGAACACTGCCCTTTGTGTCAATGCTCTTGCAAATTCTTCTACAATCTTGCTACCCATAGTCATCAATAAGCTTGGACACACAGTGAAACTCAATGTTTATCTTCACAAAGTGTAGACTGTGTTTCCTTTCAACTGAACAATCAGCAGGACCACCCTCTGCTCTCCGAGAACAGACTGTAATCGCATTCAAGTCTTCATCACACGTCCTCAAAACATAAACTGTTGATGGAGAGTTGATTTCTCTTTAGTTTTGCACTCATGGAACTGGGAGTTGCCTTTGACGGTGCATGACTTCTCAGCTGTCTTAACTGTGAGATGGTTCCACCGCCCTCTAGTGTCATAGGCATGCAAGGACATGTCAAAATTCAGCATCGACGATATTTAGAAGCCCCAGAAAGAGACACAGAAGTTTGTCAAAGTCAAACTAGCTGGAGGAAAAATCTGGAACTGTTGAAACATTATTTTTTATTTGTGGACAACACAAAACCTGCATCGCGGCCCTCACAGAAATGCTCATCTCTCAGCACACAGGGTTTCCTTTCTTATTGATACATTCATTGTTTTGTAATTGCCCCTTTTGCATTCTGGATATTTGCAACTCTTCATTATTTGCGTGCTCCATTTCCCTAAAGTATGTCCGATGTAACTTCCACAAAAATAGAAAAACATTTATCGAAGGGTGAAAAAACAAGTAATAACGTTAGAGGATGTTTATAGCCATGTAGACAGATGTGTTGCGTGGAAGGTTGGAAAGTGGATCAGGTATTTATTTGGTGGGAAATGTGTACGTGCAGTAGTTGACTGCAGGAAAAGGCATGGTGAGAGTATCAATATGTTATTCAATTCTCCTGCACAGGGGAGAATAACCACTAGCATTTCCCTCAGGTGTTTTTCAAGGAAACAAAATAATTACATCAGATCTGATTTGTCCTGACCTTGTTTCAAATGTTGTCCCACAAATGTATCTCCTGGGAGTTGTGAGATAGAGTTAGATATACATGGTTAAGTGTGACTGTTCATTACATTACATATAATGCGGCCTTGGTCTGCCTGGCAGTACCTGTGTGTACTGACACATCACATATAAGCCTCTTGCCCTCAGCACGCCACCTCTTAATGAAATCAGGCAGAATGTTTTAGAAAGTAAGCTAAAGGTTTGGGAAAAATATGTAATAAGAGAAGCGTATAGAAAAGATATCTGCCTCTCCCTAGTCATCTCTTTCTTTCCTCAGCCTGTCTAACCTGGTGTCATCACACTCTCATGGGCATGCTGTGAAAATGGACCTCTGGTACATGATGTGTTTTTGGCAAAACTCTTACTGAGTTAGGTTGAGGATGACAGGAGTAAATAGCCTCAGTTATTGGAAGTATTTTGATGATATTCCTACTCAAAGTCTGTCACAATTCGGTTCATAGTCACTGTCTTTTAAAGTTGCACCACACACTTTTAATCTCAATCTGGGATATTTCTAGAAACTCACATTTTAATTTGTCTGTAGTCAAAACGTTGGTGTCAGCTGTGGTTTGGCCACCAGCCAGCAGACCGTTAGATATCCGTTTTTACGTACCTGTAATGCAAACTCAACAGCCATGATTTATTGACCTGCAGGTTATCTCAAGGTTTATTGGTCTTCTGTGATGCAGAATAGCCTCACCATATTGACTCTGTGCATGGTCACCATTATTTATCTAAGATGCAATGACTCAATCATTTTTTTTAAGTATTGTTGCAGAAAAATTTATTTATTTATCTCCATGTGACTGATTACTTGAAATTTTTAGATTTCTTTTTTTTCTCTGCGCTGTTCTGTACTGTTTTCTATTGTCATTACCATGAAATGATTGACCAGTGTGATATATAATTGTTATTATTGTAATGAAATAGCATCTATTGTTTTTTGTTTTTGTTTTGGTTCATTCAAAAACTATTTTTTCATCATAAATACTTGATGTTTAAAAGCACACTGGCATCCATAGTTTTAACATCATTCCAATAGATGTCAAGTGGAATGTTGTTAAACTGAAAAGTTTCCCAAAGCATGAACAATATTGTATTTCCTGCTTTTCTCATTTCTCTCAGACCTTTAAAATATCTTCTGTTAAAATGTTTAACCCCTTTACTTTAAAAAGCCTCAAGTGCTCTCATCGTCACTCGATTGTGGTGACCTAAACTAGAACAATAGTAATTATTTAAAGTAGTGAAGTCACACATATTTTGGGAAACTAGGTCAATCAACATTCTCATAATGCACTGTTTAAACCACTTGCCTTGACAAAAGATTTGTAGAAATTTAGATTTTGAAAATAAGCCCTTTACTTTCAATTTAAACGTTCGATTAGATTAGTTATAATTAAAGAAATGCATAACAGCAGTCCCTACTCACATATGGGCACAGTAAGGCTTAGTCACTATTTTAATCCCCTTAAAACTGCAATGAACAGGAAGTGGATGCTCCACACCGATAAATCAAACCACACCAGAGCACCGCTGTCGACCTTCTTTCAGCAGAATGAAGCATCTTAATCTGCTAGATCGGTTTTATCATTTGCATGAATGTGGATTTTGAGGGTTTTTTATGTACATATAATGTCACTGATTTGTTATTTTTTAAGAATCTGAACAACATAATAATACATAAATAATTATGTAGTCTAATATCCCCTAAGATTTGATTCAGTCTGCCCAATCATCTTTAAAGTCCTAATATGTTATTATTCCTGAATGACGTGAATGGTAGCAGATGTCAACCTGTGAGGGAAAGGTAGCGTTTTTAGGATGAGTGAGTATTTGCATATCCACTTACTCTGAATGAAAAAGACGGACAGTAACTTCAATTCGAACACGTACAAAAAAAACTCCACGTTTTTATACTTAACAGAAATGAATGTAACTGGGTTGCTCAGGGTTGACTTGGAGCGTGTTAAAACTACTGGTCCATCAGTTTTTTTGGACTGTTGTGTACAAGATGATGAGGGATTTATAATTACCTTAGGTTTGGTAAACTCTGTGGTCACAACATACTTTTCTTTCATTAAGTGCACCACCATTCTGCTAGTTGTGAATACTTGAAAAATATCCTTGCAGAAAATGGAGTAAATCCAGTGCTATTTAAAAAGGACACTTGACAGCGTTGTTCATTTTATTGTTTAGGCTGTTTATAAAAAAAGAGCCTACAATACTTGCCTGGTTACCTGAGCTGATTTAAACCCTATCTCTAACATTTTTGGCAATTTAACCACAGTTATCATATGGCAACAACAGGTGACCTATTCATTAAGAAATCTTCATATTTCAATTAAATCAGGCGAAATTGTAATGTTATCTGATCGATTTAATCATGCATAAAATGTAAATACAATTCCTAATAGAGAAGGGCAAAATCAGTTCTGGTTGCCAGGTAACACAACGATGGTGCCTCTGATGACTCTGTGGACACAAAATACATCCCCCTTATGGTTTCAGTTTATTTTTGGAGTTGGAAGTGAATTAGCCCCGATCCTGCAAAAGTGGATTCATCAATTATCATCTCAACTCATGCATTTTCACTATGTTGTCACATTGCAAGATACCGTGGCTGTACAAATGAGTAAAGAAAAAATATATCTATATATGAAAATATAAACTATTATGTATTTCAGGGAATGCAAAAAAGAAAACGGTAACTTATCTCGTTTTTTCAGAGAGAGCTCCTGTATTCGAAATGTGCTTTGCTTAATTCTGTAAATAGTTGAATGGCTTATACATTTTAATTGTAACCTTTTCAGGTATTTTTGTACAAATAAGGGACTGATATATTCTGTTTATTGTAATTAGAATAAAACATTAATACATTGATATAAAAACCTCAACTCTGTTTGTCTTTATTAATGGAACGTTATTATGTGACATTTGCTAACTAAAGGATGTAGCACTGCTGAATCAGATGTATTTATTAGATCTGCACAGTGTTGTATAAACCGTACTGCATGTGCACTGGTTTTGATAATCATTGTTTTTTCAGATTTAGGTGTGCTTAGAATCTGAGGTGTTATTTTAGGTAAAATACCCATAAGGTCTAATGTTTCAATCTGTCTATTGATTTAAATGAGGATATTTGCTTTGCATGTACAATACAGATGCCTTTGTTTAAAACACCTGTCAACAGTGATGGTGTATCTATTTGCTTATTGGTCCTAAAACAAACACAGGTTAACTGTGATGCACTGACATCGTTCAGAGTGAACCACTGACCACTAGGAGGCGCTCCTAAACAAACTTTTATCTTTTACTTGATATCACATGAATAATATATGTGAGTCTTTATTTAAGTAGATACTTTCTAACATGGTTTTATTTTCAAAGACATTCTGTGTAAAACTAATTGAAATTAGGCTTACAATCTTTAAAAACATAATATAGTATGTTGAAAATATCAAGGAAAAAGTCATAGTTTGGTTTTTGTGAAATATGGAAAACGTCATGGTATACTCTGTTGAAAAAGTCATATTACTCTATGTTGAAAATAAAAAAATGTAAAAGTCACAGAGTATGGTATGTTTAAAATGTCATGAAAGAAATTGATGTATAGCATGTCAAAAGATATGGATAAAAAGTCATAGTATGTTGAAAAATATGAAAAATTGCAAAACGTATTCCGTCTCAAATATCATGAAGTCATAGAATACCTTGTCAGAAAAAGTAATAGTATAGAACGTCAGAAAATGTGAAAAAAGTTATAGGAAATATAACTAAAAAGTCATGATATAGTATGCCCAAAAGAATCATGTTGAACATATTAAGGAAAAAGTCTTTACATATAGTATAGGTTTTGTTTTAAATATGGAGTCATTGTATAACTTGTTGAAAAAGGTAATTGTATAGTATGTTGAAATATCAAGGATATATGGTATAGTATGTTCCAAAAAATTATAATATAGTATTTTGAAAAAATAATGGAAAACTCATGTTATAGTTTGTTTAAAAAAGCAATAGTAAATATGGCAAATTTATATAAAAAAAATGTGTACAGCATATCGAAAAATGTTATTCTATGATACGTCGAAACCATTCATCTTATTTTCCACTAGATGGTGCAACATGAAGATCAAAAGTTGATCATCAGTTATGATGGAGAATGATTTGTTGGCACTGTAACAGAAACATATTATGCTCATTTACTTACTTTTAGAATAACACTGTGTGATTCTTACTTGCTAATGTTTATCTCTATTTACAACAGTACCTTCAACTTCTGTGAACTGAGAACATCCTGCCTCCCTAAACTTCCAGGATGCTCCTTTTTTATTGCCAAGCGTGTTTAAATATGCAACACAAACTCTAGTATTCATCTTTCACTCTGCAGACAGTGCTCTCTGTACGATTGACTGAACTTCTTGCAAGAATAAACTACAACAAAGCAAATTGAATGATTCATTCTTAATTCACGTTTGATAAATAAATTCCCACAACAGGCACCACGAATACTGTTCTGTTAATTCTGAGGAAATCCGGTGAATGTTGGCTGCCACAGTAAGAGCCCTGCATTGATCCCAGTGAGAACGGACCCTGTGACCCCCCCCCCCCCCCCCCCCGCTCTGGTCTGTCACACCCTTTGGATTATCAGTCATGCAAAAGTAGTAAGGTTTCGAGGCTTATAGTTCTGTTGTCGGCAAAGAGAAGGATAAATATCTCTGAAGGTCTGAGTGTGCTGACACAGTGACTGTTAAGGAACATTGTACACACACAGTGACAAATGTATAGGACACATTCACATATTGGATGGAGAAAATAACATCCAATCCAATCCAATCCATTTTATTTCTATAGCACATTTAAAAACAACAGAGTTGAACAAAGTGCTGTACATCAACAACTGTATAAAAACATAGCATGAATACATAAAAAACAGACAGGACATGAAACAAATGTAAAACATGAAACAATGAAACCAGATCAGAAGCCACAGACTGAAACATGACGTAAAAACAATACAAAACACTAGTAAGATAAAAACCCAAATGTAAAAGCACAAGTGTCATACCTGGCCTGTAAATGCAAGGGAAAAGAAGTGGGGTTTTAAACGAGATTTAAAAACAGGCCGAGTTGGAGCAAGTCTAACCTGGAGGGGCAATTCGTTCCATAATTTTGGAGCTGCAACAGCAAAGGCTCTGTCTCCTCGCTTCTTTAGCCTTGATTTTGGGACGACCAGAACGAATCT